CCCGGCGGGCAGAACCGACAAAAAGCCCCCCCCCCAAGGGAAGTCCCGAAAGGAACAATAAGTGGGACGCTGGCAGAGGACCGATCAGGCGACCATTGGCGCCGTCCTGGTCACTACCGCCGCGGGAAGGCCAACGAGAGGGAGGTGGACGTGCGATGGGACCTGGCGTAAGCCCACCAAGACCACCCGCGCCAAGGGGGCCCTGTTTTCACTGCGGGCAAAAAGCCCCCCCCCCAAGGGAAGTCCCGAAAGGAACAATAAGTGGGACGCTGGCAGAGGACCGATCAGGCGACCATTGGCGCCGTCCTGGTCACTACCGCCGCGGGAAGGCCAACGAGAGGGAGGTGGACGTGCGATGGGACCTGGCGTAAGCCCACCAAGACCACCCGCGCCAAGGGGGCCCTGTTTTCACTGCGGGCAGGAAGGACACCACATTAAAGATTGCCCCTTCATGGACTGCTCATACGCGCAGGCCTTAGCCGGGGATGGGGTACCCACTACGGACGGTAAGATATTGCGAGAGGTGAAGATTGGGGATAATCTAGTGACGGCCCTAATAGACTCGGGGTGCAGCCAGACCATGGTGCGGGCCGAACTGGTTCCCCAAGGGGAGCCCCGGGGACCACCAGTGCAGGTACAGTGTGTGCACGGGGATACGCACCAGTACTCCACGGCGTGGGTACAAGTGCACGATGAGGGAGAAGATAGTTGGTGCTATGTGATCCTTGCTCCTCGCCTAGCGTATCCGGCCCTATTGGGCCGTGATTGGACTGGATTTCGTAGGGCGGTGGGAGAGTGGCAAAGGTCCGAGGGCTCGGGCGAGGAGGGTGACCGCCTAGAGGCCCTTGGGGAGGCGCCGGCAGGCAATGCCCCCGCAACCCCGGAGGAGGGAGGGCCGAACCCCGAGGATCTGGGCCACCTGGAGCTCGATAGTGGGGACTTCCTCCAGGAGCAGAGAGAGGACCCCACGCTACGCCATGCCTGGGATACGGCACGCGAGGAGGCCGAGGGACAAGCGGAGGCAGCCGAAGGACCGTACGAGCGGATCGGCTGTACCGGGTAGACGAAGGGGGGGTTGAACAGGGCACCCGACGGCAACTGCTAGTACCCCGCCGGTACCGGTACCCCCTCATGGAGGTGGCTCATGCCAACCCATGGGCCGGACACTTAGGGCAGGAGAAAACAGTGAAGCGAATACTACAGCGTTTCTACTGGCCCGGGGTGTACCGCGAGGTGCGGGACTTTTGTGAATCCTGCCCCCAATGCCAGAAAGCGGGACCCCGAAATGTACCAAAAGCCCCACTGGTCCCACTCCCGGTAGTCGATGTTCCCTTCGAGAGAATAGCGATGGACATGGTGGGGCCCCTCGATAAGTCAAAAGCAGGTCATCAGTACATACTGGTCATCCTGGACTACGCCTCCCGGTACCCGGAGGCGGTGCCCCTCCGAAACACGCATGCTACCACCATAGCACACTATTACCAGCCCTATTATTCGCCGTACGAGAAGCCCCGCAGGCGTCCACCGGGTTCTCGCCCTTTGAGTTATTGTATGGGCGGCAACCGAGGGGCATATTGGATGTAATCAGAGAAAGGTGGGAGGATCAAGAAACTCGGGTGCGAGGGTTGGTACAGTATATTCTAAACTTGAGACAGAAGTTGAAGACCCTCGCGGAGGTGGCGAGGGACAACTTAGAAAGTGCGCAGGAGGTGCAGGCCCGGTACTACAACCGGGGGGCCCGGCTTCGGGTTTTTGAGCCAGGCCAGCGGGTCCTACTGCTCCTCCCTACGCCAGGGTCAAAACTGGTGGCTAAGTGGCAAGGGCCCTTTGAAGTAGTAAGACGCATCGGGGAAGTAGACTATGAGGTCAAGCTGACGGGAAGGGCAGAAGGCACTAAGGTGTACCACGTGAATCTACTGAAAGCATGGAAGGGACGGGAGGCTATGTTTATAAACCCCCTGCCCCCAGACCCAGAACTAGGCCCGGGAGGGGTAGAGCAAACCACCCCAGGTCTTTTACAGCTAGGGGACGACTTAGACCCAGAACAACGGGCGGAGATGGAAGCCTTGCTGCACCAGTTCCCCGACGTTATGACGGAGCAGCCCGGACACACCACGGTAGCCTACCACCACATCGAGACGGAACCGGGAAAGAAGGTACGAGACCAGGTACGACCCTTACCCTGAAAGATGTGGGAACCGGTGAAAGAGGAATTGCAGAAGATGATCCAGTGGGGCGTGGTGGAAGAATCATATAGCGAGTGGCGTAGCCCGATAGTGTTAGTACCCAAACCGGACGGGTCGATGAGGTTCTGCATCGATTTTCGTAAAGTGAACGCCCTCTCCCGATTCGATGCGTACCCCATGCCACGGGTAGACGAGCTGTTGGACCACCTGGGGGGCGCACAATATCTGTCCACCCTCGATCTGACCCGGGACTATTGGCAGATCCCCCTGTCCCCTCCGTCCAGGGAAAAGACGGCCTTCTCAACCCCCTTCGGGCTGTACCACTTCGTCCTGATGCCCTTCGGGCTCCATGACGCAGCCGCCACCTTTCAGCGGCTTATGGACCGGGTGTTAAAGACCCATGACCAGTTCGCCGCGGCATACATTGATGATATTGTCGTGTATAGTAAATCCTGGACTGAGCACCTACAGCATGTGAAGACCATACTACAAGAACTCCGCCAGGCGGGGCTGACGGCGAACCCACGGAAATGCCATTTCGGTGAGAAGGAGGTCTCCTATCTGGGCTACACAGTCGGGAGAGTTGGTCGAGAAGGTAGCCGCGCTGCGCACGTTCCAGCCACCCCGGACCAAACGACAGGTTAGGCGGTTCTTAGGGTTGGCCGGCTATTATCGCCGCTTTGTTCCTAATTTCGCAGCAATAGCGGCACCCCTAACGGACCTGACACGGGAGGCACTCCCCCAGAAGGTACGTTGGTCGCCGGAGTGCGAAAAAGCCTTCCAGGAGCTAAAAGATCGCCTAACTCAGGCCCCAGTGTTAGCTCAGCCCGATTTTAGTCAGCCCTTCACCCTATACACAGACGCCTCGGAAACTGGAATAGGGGCTGTCCTAGCGCAAGGGGAAGGTGCAGACGAACACCCCGTCATCTATATCAGCCGCAAGTTGTTTGTACGGGAGCGTAAGTACGCAACAATTGAAAAAGAAGCATTGGCTGTGAAATGGGCAATTGACTTATTAAGATACTATCTCCTAGGCAACAGGTTCCAAGTCGTGACGGACCACGCACCCCTACGCTGGCTGCAGACAATGAAGGACACAAACGCCAGGGTGATGCGGTGGGATTTGTCCCTACAGCCATACGCGTT